CTGCTTTATAGTTATATTAAAATTTAATAAAAATTTTTAAAATTTCAAAATAATTTTATTAATAAAATTATATATACAGTATATAGTAAATAGTATATAAATATGTAAAATTTTAATAATAATTTATTTAAAGTACTTTAAATAACAATATTTAAAATACTGTAAAATAGAATTAATTATACTATATACAGTATATTTTATATAAAAATATAGTTAAACTATAAAAAATTAGAATTATTTATAATCTAATAAATAAATATTATTATATCTAGTGTAAATAACGATAAGTTTTTAACAAATAATAACAATAATATAATTAGTTATACTATACGTATATATTTATATAAAAATATGGATAAACATGTTGAAACATACAGTATCAAACCATAAAAAATTAGAATTATTTATGATCTAATAAATAAATAAAATTATATCTAGTGTAAATAACGATAAGTTTTTAATGCAACAGCAACAAATAGAACGTATACGGTATATATACAGTATATATACAGTATATCAGTTAGACAGCAAATCAAATTAAAATACTTATCAGATATAATTCTTAAAAATCAAATACCGCAAAAGGGTTAAAAAGACTAACAAAAATATTTGAGAAACAAAAATTGTTACGTATACGTAGCTCTTTAAAAAAAAAAAGGCAAGCCGAATTTTTTAATTAAAAATTAGAATAGATTATCGCTATATATAAAATTCGTACAAACCGCAAATAATTTCAAATAATTGCAAATAAGTTAATTAATTTTAAATAATTTCAAATAATTGCAAATTAACGATAAGCCATAATCAACATTTCGTACGTACGTACGTAACTTTTTAACAGCAATGTATGTACGTACGTACGAAATGTTAATGTAACGTTAACATTTACTTCCTAAAGGATATTATTCCGTATAATGACCATTGAAGTATTTATCACATCCTATATATTTCACAAATATCGGATCATTTTAATTTCGGGATCAGACATTTTCGGGATTAAGATATCAAATTATGGACAAAAAAGGGTGTCAAGGGGAAAATCTTAATGAAGCTTCTTTTTTCGAAATACACATTCTTTGCACAATTCATGATAATAGTTTAGCATATCTAATCATATAATTCATATAATTGTAATTAAAAATTTTTTTTTTTATTCGACTGTTCTTTGCAATAAGGATAAAACTTCTTTTTTTGAAATACGATAATAATTGTAATTAAGTTTTTGCAATAAAATGAGTTTCTTTTTTTGATTTCTTCCATCAAAAAAAAAGCACAAAGGCTTTATTTAGAACATTCATTGAGTGGCCTTACGATTGCTGTATACATAGATTTATATTGTTCCAAGAACAAATAAGGTGTTTCCAAGAACAAATAAGAATGCTCCTATCCCCGGTGAGCACAAATGGATTTTTTTTGTTATTTCTTGTGCAAACGATGTTTTAAAGAAAGATAAATCAATTGCTGAAGATAGAATTGGTTTGGTTTTGTTTTAAACACCAATAACAAAACCATAAAACCTAAAACACCAATGAAATAGATTCATTAAAAGGTATTTGGTTTGTTTGTTTTTTTTTTTATTGATTGCTTCTCAGATGTTTACAGAATGGTTTACAGAATGGTTTACAGAATGGTTTAAGAATGGTTTACAGAATGTTAACAGAACTGATGTTGCAAAATCTTTCTTCACTGATAAGATTGCACGTAATTTATTTCCTGAACCAATCGGGCAATCTTGCGGAACAGTTCAGGTTACTATGTGCTTTTCTCACGCGCATGTAAATTTTCTCAAGCATGATCAATACATTATTCATAATGTTTAATAATGTTTAGTGTTCAATAGTGTTTAAGTGTTCAATAATGTTCAACAATAGTGTTCAATAGTTTTTAATAATGTTTAATGATGTTCAATAGTGCTTAATAGTTTTTAATAATGTCAATAATGTTCAACAATGTTCAATAATGTTCAATAATGTTCAATAATGTTCAATAATAATGTTCAATAATGTTCAATAATAATGTTCAATAATGTTCAATAATGTCCAATAATACCGGTACGTAGGGGGCGGAATACACCCGAATGCCCGATAATTAATAAAGATAATTAAAGTGGTACCATCGCGGGTAGTCCATCTTTTCAATTCAATCTTTTGTCATACGCGCAATTCTGTTTTTGTTAAAATTTTCCCAAGGATGAAGTAGTATTTAAATTAATATAGTCAATCGGTGTATCTTAACCTACTGCGCGTATCATTGTTGTATAGAATTAGAATTATGTACCAAATTGCCCGCCACGATAAGGAGTACCACGATAAGGGTACCACGATAAGGAGTAGAAAACGTGACGATTTTCGAACTGAACTTTGTACGACTTGCCTTAATCAAAAATTATCGGTCCTTTGTATACGGAATTACATTGTTCATTGAGATTACATGTCTGTTTATATTGACGGTATAACAAATTAAACTTTATTTTGATATACGTATGTAATTCACATAGCGATATATACAGATATATCAGTATATGATTGGTTTTTCTTCTACCGCAAGTAAAGATGACAATGCTGATATAATCACTTACGTAAAATGCGCGCATTCATGATAAAGGAAATTTGAAAATTTTACAATATTAAACGATCTTAAGTATTATTAAAAATGGTTGCAGAACCTCTTTCAAAGATCATTTTACTAATTGTTTTAAATAAGTCGTCATCGCTATCACTATAGTCAAGTGAAAGCTCTCACGTGACTGGACTTACAGTCAACAATGATAATGCATTGTTAAAATCTTGAATATCCTAAATGCAAGAATTCCTAACGAAAAATATTTATGCATAAATTGAGATTGTTCTTAAGGAAATAATATAATTCATAAAAAAAAAAATATAAACACATGTCTACCCGCTTGACATCTTTAATAATTTTTTTTCTTAAATTCCATTGTATCATAAATCATAAAATCATAAAGCAT